TCGATTTTTTTGAAAATTTGTTTTTTTTTTTTTTAATTCCATATTATTCAAAGAGAAAATGAGAGAGATGATGATTCTGAGGCCACCCTATCCCAGCCATATTATTCACATATCGAGTCCCAACAGCAACAGTGTAGAGATGAGCACGACAGTGCAGGTGAGCATGAAGGATGAACAAGCTTCGGGGATTTTAGATTGGGAACACAACAAAACACTAACACTCAGGGATTTGGGAATAGTCAGACGCCTGCTAATATCGATGATTCATTTTAGATCGAATCAATGAATTGTTAAATGAATTCAATCAATGGCACCAGCGTGACCAAGAAGAACAATAACGGCGTCTATCATTTTATTTTTAGATCATATGTTACTAATTTTATGCTTTATTGTAGTCCATGTATGTTGATATACTTATTCCATGATAATTCTATGTTTATCCTTTTGTGTGATGTAAATTAAATGCTGAATGGTGGTTCATGCAGGGAAAGAACATATCAATATTCGTATATTCATTCAAAAACATGAAAATTCTTAATGGAGTACCTTCATTTCTTATTGAATTCCTAAAAAACAATATTTATAATGAGTTTTAATAATTTTTTCGGATTTTTTTTAAGCTTTCTTATGACCGATTCACCCTATTCCCGATCCGGATCGCCGATTCGCCGATCCGGATCGATTTTTTGGACGCCCGATTCGGGTCACCGAACCATTTTTTAAACCATTGGTTAAAAGGCATCAGTAATCATGCAATCACATATACCAAGGGCTCAAATCCAAAACAAGGCTTTTGTCAAAGCAAATGTTTTTGGTGATTTTGATAAAGGAAAATCAGCTACTATATCTGTATTTTCAGTTTGCAAATAGACTGGTACGTTGGATCTCAAGTCTCCAAGACACACAGTGGCACTCTTAACTAATAAAACAAATACATGGTAGCAATAGAGGAATCAAAAGTAGTAGGATAACTCCTACAATTGATGGATGAATAGCTATTTTGTGCAAACTCATAGAAACTAGTTTGTGACAGTAAGATTGTTTTGGACTTGATTTTTTTTTTTTAAGAATATGTTTCATCATAAAAGATCAAGACTCATATTGGTTCAATACTTTGATATTCACTAAATTGTTGGAAATGGGAAAAATCGAATGGTCAAAGATCAAACCAAGGATAATCTTGTACACATACTTATGAAGGTCGTTCAAGTGGTTAAGTTGGACAAATGCTTCTCTCTTAGTTTCAAAAAAGAGAAAGAATGAGGGTACGGTAATGTAGTGGTATGATCTTGTATTAAGGCAGAGATCATACACAATCAACCCTATTGGCATATCCCTCTTTGTGATGATATTTTGATTAATGCAAAATGACTTTTAACTGGGGGCATTAGAAGCCACTGTCTAGAGAGAATTTATACCGAGTTGTGCAAGTTTTAAGGACAAACAGAAATTGAGGGTTATGCCCATCAATTGGAAAACGTTAGCAATTTTTGTAACATTGTATTGGGCTAAATTCATTAGCACTTTCTTGTGTTGAAGGAAAGGGGCGACAATGTCAAGGAAAGGGTGGCTTCATGGAGATGTTACGTAGGGAAATGAAATTTATTTGCCATTGTGAGGTGAGCTATAAAAAACACAAAAATCTCTCTCAAATTGAATACATCCTTGGCCATTGCCCATAGAGGTAATTCCAGTGCGTGCCTTTTATATGTGCTTGTGTTATGCTTATTAGGTTCTCATTTCTCTATGTTCAGTTCTATTTGCATTTTGTTTTTACTAAGTCTATTGGATTAACCATTATTCTTGGTCATCTTGATTTTATAAAATCGGCTTACCAGTAATTGGTAAGTCAGCATTTGAGGTGTTGGGTTCATTGTTGCAGGGAGCTCACTGCAACAGGTACCTATTGGTGGTGTCACAATATACCTGCACTCAAAACGTAGTAGTAGATCGAAATAAAGCCAATTCACTATCCATTCAAGTTTTAACAACCCTGACATCAACCCACCGAATTATCATCACTTCACTAACTCCAGCACTATCCTCCATTATAATTAAACAAGAAAAACATGTATATTACTACATGAACATTTTAGCAATGAGTATGTGTGTAAGGATTAAGAAAAGACAAGAACATCATAAAAATAATACAAACTCATAATCGGGCAGATAGGATTAGCCAATGAGTATCTCGTACTAGTTCAAACTCCAGGTAGTGGATACTGACTCATCCAAACTTCAACTCTCCTGAGATCCAGAGTCCGACTTTTGAGTGGGAAATCTAGGGATTGCACCAATTCCAAGTAATCCTTGAGCTTTGTTGAGCCGCTGGGCACCAATTTCTTAGCCTTAAGGGTGATCCCAACCCCCTCATGAACGAGATCAGCCGCCTTCACAAAATCTTCCTCCGTGAAACATCGTGTGGTCATAGCAGGTGTCCCTATACGAATACCCCCAGGAACTACAACACTTTTTATCCCCTGAAAATGCAGGAAAGAAAACAATAATAAGAACATCACTCCACCACCAAAATTTCCCTCATTTAAGGCCTTACCATAGGCCTCACTCCTATGCTACTCACCAAACTTACCATAGGCCTTAAGTCAACCAAAACAAGGTAATTATCACTTCCACCAGATACCAGTTTGTAACCCAGTTCCAACAGCCTTCCTGCAAATGCCTTGCAATTGGACAAAACCTAACGCAAGTAGCATAGGAGACCACAATTAGTGTAACTCTTCCAATGGCAAACCCAACAAGGTAAAACAGAAGTTTCTACATATACCTGTTTCTCATAAGCCACGAAATCCGGTAACTGTGCAAGTTTAAGACAGACGGCAAGCCCCGCAATGGTATGGTTATGGGGCCCTCCCTGTAGAATTATTATCAACAAACCAAATTTCTTAGTTCTAGCCTACCAGAGAATGTTCAAAGTAAAAAGCAGGTCTTAAAACTACAAAGAAGAAAATATTTGTGCTAATTGACCTGCAACCCTGGAAAAACAGCATTGTTGATAGCTGATTCTAAATCAACCCCCAAAACAAGCTCCTTCTTGAAGAAGATCCTGCCGCCTCTAGGACCACGTAATGACTGTAGAACAGATCCAACCAATATGAAAAAAAGTTGCCCCAGAATTTATTATGAAAGAACAAAGAGAAAATGAAGTATTATGTAACAGTAGGACTTGATTCAACCAGGATCAAGATTTCTTTCAGTAGTTATACAAGGAAATATCAGTCATTAACTATCATTTGACATCACAAACTAAAGTCTGCTGTGCGCAGGCTCCAGCATTTCTTAAATTTCCTTTCATCTTGAAAGAACCAGTGCAGCCATGGCAGTATAATTCCAGAGGCTAACAAGGAACAAGACCCTTTAGGAAAGAACAATTATTCCTATCAATACATCTAGGATCTTAAAGGAGAACTATATCCATAAATACCCCCAAAGTCTTCTAGAAGCACAGCCCCCCAATAGTTATCTATGATTGGAATACATATGACTGAAGAGAAAATTATACACACAACTGAGGCCGCAAAAAGAGAGGAAAGAAAGGAAAATCCTGACATACCCTAGAAGTCCGCTACACATGTAAGCATTCAACCATTCTTGGTCTTCCTTGTTGTTAGTAATAAACATGTTCCACTCTTTTCTACATGCTTAGTCAAAGAACATATTTGCTCATAAAAAGGATATCTGAGCAAAAACTAGAATATATGAACATGAAAGTAGCCAGGCAAAAAATTAGACCAACCAGATTTCAAAAAAAAAAAATTAAAATTAAAATTAAAAAAAATTAAATAAATAAATAACATATTTTTAAACAACAAGATTTGAAGAGAACTAATCATCCAGAGTACTCCATAACAGGTTTGAGATCAATATGAACCCACTTGATTACTAGTGGCAGAGTTTAGACCTAACGAAGCTCCTTATTAAGTCAAAGGGGTGCACATTGTCGTCGAACCATTTAGGTGTCAGGAAAAGTAACCCATAGAGAAGATTTGGCTTAGTGTAGGATCGAGTTTCAAGGGTTGCACCAGTTGTAGTTTGGGATAAGATTTTAGCGTAAAGAAAAGAAGAACACAAGGTTCATCTGCAGAGCAGGTTTGACCCTCCAACAGAGAAGAGAAACAGCATGAAGATGTGGCATCAAGAACCATACAAAAACTCTTGCAAGCACAAGTCAGAAGATCAAATAATGCTTTACTCAAATTTGAACATTCCTCAGGGACAGGAAAGCTCTCAGGGTCCCATCAAGGGGAGTAAGGAGGGAGAATCAGGTCTATGGTGCATGCATGAGATTCCCATTTTGAAGATTTAATGAAAGTTCCTTTGAAATGGTTTGCCGTCAACGTTATCCCACCTCAGGAAAAAGTAATCGTTATCTGAATCTAAATCAGCTATGATGATTTGGAAACTAAAGGATATTGATGATGATAACTAGGCAACCCAAAGGTCCAAATTGAGGTACTAGTAGGAGCAAAACCACAAGACCCCCGAGATGGCCAGAAGGTTCTTTACTGTATCTGTCCTGATAATAGCGGAACCAGAATTAAAAGAGATGCCTGGATGAATAGGAAACAGTGGCAGAGAGACCTCAGGATTATGGCTCCTTCTAAACTCGTAAGCCACCATTCAGCCAATTAGGCAACACACAAAGTCATAAGGGCAAAACACTCACAAAGTGGCAACTGGTTTGAATTTTTATTTATGATGTTAACCTTGCTGTATTTAGCGAAATATCATCTCATTTTACCGGGCAGGGCAGTGGAGATTAGGGTTAGCGTGTTCGGTTAGCATGCTAACGTTGCTGGTTTGTGTGAGTTGATCCTAGAGTGTCACTCAGCTGCCTCTGCCTGTGCTGCTTCCAACAGATGTTCAGTGGATCCTTTATGTAAGGCCAGCAGAATCACTGCCACGAGCCAGGATGTGCTGCCTCGATCAATTTCTGGTTTGCCCCATGTACAAACCTCTGCTCTTGTCTCTAGCCTAGCTTGTATCTAGTTGGAAGCTCAACATGCTCTAATTCAATGATTAAAATCCCAGATTCAGGCTCAGACAAACTAGGGGCTCAAGTCTGAGTCTGATGGCTGACTTGGCATAGTCAGCTGCCTGATCAGCAGAGTCAGAAAAATTACATAATCAATCATGATTGTTTTATAATTTGATTTATAAAATGCACAAAGTGATTAGAAGCTCCAATCTCACCTCATTAGTAAATAACTTAATTTATATTGTACATTGAAATTTTAGTATAAGACTACAATATGGGAGTGCAGTGAGTTAGTTGAAGTAAAAGAACTGAAAAGGGCAAGGGGTAGACCCAAAAGGATGTGGTAGGAAGTAGTCCGAAAGATATGGGAACTTATGGCCTCACTGAAGATATGGCCTTTAATAGAGAAGAATTGCGGATCAGGATTCATGTAGCTGACCCCAATTAATTAGGAAAAGGCTATCATCATGATGATGATGATGATAGTATAAACCATCAATATATCGTAATATTATGTTATGCAGTCTCTTGATATCTATAGAAAAGCGGGGAAGATCTGAGAGACCCAGTCCAACACCAATTATATGCTGCAAACTTACCACCAACGGTAAGAATGATCCGAACCTCCACTTGATGGAAAGGAATGAACTTTTGATGGAATTACATTCATCTGAACCATTCTTCAATGAGAAGGAAATTCTTTTCAAAAGATCGACATGTGTAGTTCTCTTGATTGTTTTGCATTGTCGAGTCATTATTAATTTTCTAGTTATATATTTGTTAGTAATGTCCAAATTTGTTGCAGTATCAGGAAATTTTGGTCGTGTCATTCACCCCCAAAAATGGAAAAGACTGATACTCGGACCACTGTCTGTGGAATCGTGAGAAGGCCACACTCAATTTTGCCAAGCAACCATATATTCTCTATTTATGATGCATCTACAATAGTACAGATAATATACCAATGCTGCAGTCTGATTAACAATTGGAAAAATCATATTTAAGACCATATTTCTCCGATTTCACCCCTACATGTTTTTTTTTTGAAATGTTAACTTATATTTGATTCTGTCAGAGATGATAGAGACTCACATTCTTTCTGTACAAAGACACCCTCCTTTGCCAGGACAAGTGCGGGAATGTCATTCGCTCCATGTGTGAGAGGATGTACCTGAAAAGGGCACCATAGGAGGGAGATATTGCTGAACATTTGATCCAACCTCCAAGATGTGGTTGAAGAATTTGAATCTGAGATATCACATGGCTCAAATCATCTTCAATGAGAAGCTGTGAGCCCTTCTGGGATCTAAATGTTTCAAGCCAATAAGGAGGACCACATATTCGGCTCTTCTAGTGTCTGTGTCTGTGACACAGGCAGGACCAGAATAGGACAATAATGTTTCCCCTCAATGGTCACAAAGTACTTCCCCAAACCCTGCCTGACCAGGATTTCAAATCCATTTCGCAAGCTCGTTATTACGGGTAGTTCCTACAAAGGATCGGACTAATGACGTCTACAATACTTGAATTATCGATGTACATGCTACATAGTTGGTTCTCATCCTTCAGAGACTAAGAATGTACTACGAGTATCCGTCGACTGATTAGGGAGCCTCTGTCAAAATTTATTTGTGCTGTCCATTGTTGGTGGACTCCGAAAAGCAGATCTGGTAGAGAAGCAGGACAACTCCGAACAATATCATGCCGCTGTGTGAGGAAGTCAGAGGCAGAGTACCAAATTAAATCCTTGGGCGTAAGGGCAAGGTGGCTATAAGAGGATTTGATGTGATTGATGAGGATGTGTAGTCTGCGTTGGGGTCTATCTATCCATCTCCCACTGAAGAACCAATCCCTCCTACCTCAATCGTTACCCACGCCCCATCTCCATGGCCAGGCTGGGCAGGGGAGGAAATAGGAATAGATAAAGAAGTCAAGGGAGTAATACCTACCTCGCCTCTCAGAAGGAGGCCCTGGAGTGAGCTGTGCTCACGCAGGCACAAGGGGCTAGTTGCTCCTACGACACCTTGGAAGGTCCTATTTCTTTCCAACCAAAGTGACCATAAGATAGAGAGAATAGTGTTCCGTAAAATGGTGAGGCCAAGAATAGACAATGGAGGGGGGAGGAGGGCATTCGATCAGGAACAGGCTATCTATAGATTCCAGGGTAACCAACTTGAAATCGAATGACATCAGAATGAAGGGCCAAACATGTCTTGCAATCTTGCAGTGCAAGAAAAGGTGGATCACTATTTCTTTGCTGTCTTTATACATACAGCAGCAACTGGGTAGGTGGCTACCTCTCACTTGCAAATGGGCAAAGGTGAGCACTCTATATACACTCACAAGCCATAGAAAGGCATGGATTTTTGGTGGAGCTTGGATGGACCAGGCTCTGTAGGCAAGAACTGGTTGAGGGCTGGTTGGGACTCCAGTGTTGCAGAAGGAGGAACAGGGATGATATCTGAGGGGGTGGGAGATGACACAATATTTTATAGCCTCACATGCTGTTGACATAGGACTCCAGTCTTGCTATGAGTGATGAAAACTCAGGTTCTTCATCACTGTTTAAACTACATTAAAAAGTGGGCCCAAGACTTCAAAGAGGTCATCACTGGTGGCATTGAGATCAGCAGCGACTTCTGCCAATCTTGGGAAGGCTTGTTCCAGAGTTCAATCCCCAGGCCAAGGTCTCTCGATAGCCTAACTTGTTGGCCATTTATGGCTGCAAACCATATTAAATATGTGGGCAGAACAAATATTAAATGTGGTTAATACCCCTCCAAGCATAGAAAAGTAAGCATTGACTTACTGCTTTAGTTAGCCAACTTAATATGTTTGTCCCACATCAATTGCTGATGACAGAGTGCCAGATTGCAAATTACCACCAACATTTACAAGGAGAACTATTTCATCCTTTCTAATAATTTATATATAATGCATCATTTTATGGGCTATTGGTTTGTGCAATAATCTATCTCATATGACCATGTGACCTCATAACCATCATACTTGGTCATGTCATATCCGATTTGTCATGAGTACAACTCAAAGCCATCATCATGCTATTTTCTTCATCTGTTATACTTTTTTCTTATGGAATTCCCAACTTTCTTTATTTGTTGACCAACCATCATATTGTCTTGTACCTGAGGTTGTGCTGAGGATGCGACTATAAAGAGCCGCCTCTTAATTTTAGCTTAAGCCTTCCAGGAAACAGACTGAGAAGGTTTCACTTAATGCACTAACTTCATCTCAAAGCCCCTCACAAATCCCAAACATGCACCTTAGAATCACTCCTAGTGGCAAGCAAAATTAACAAATTTCCAATGCAACAAGGTCATAAAATAGAATGTTTTTACCCACCATAAAAGTGAAATATAGAGATTGGTAACTAAAAATTGTCATGCAACAAGAAAAAGTAAACTACTCTCTTTTTCTTTTGATGTCTTTTATTGTTCTCTTTTTAGAAGCAAAAAGGAGATGAATGTGGAGCAGATCACAACATCCCAGCAGCATCTAGTTATTAATGTTTCTTTGAATTTCATAAATAGAGAAACTAAGGAAATGCTAAGATACCCATCAGCACCTTGTGTGTTGTTAGTCGAAATGAACTCATAGATATTCCTGTACAAGGGAATAGGTTCACCTGATCGAACCATGCTCAGATACCCATCTGCTCAAAGCTTGACAGATTCCTGTTCTCAGTCGAATGGGAGCAAGCTTTCCCTGGTTCTTACGCATTCACTCTACCAAAATCTACCTCTGACCACTACCCTATCCTCTTAGATACGGCCGCAGTCCAGAGAGGTCCCAAGCAGTTCAGGTTCGAACTTGCTTGGCTTCAAGAGGAGTCCCTTCTTGAATTAATTCCCATCTGGTGGAATTCGATGTCCACACTTGTTATAGGAAGGGCTGGGTACAGGCTGCAGACCAAAATTCAGCTACTTAAAGTAGCTTTGAAGAACTGGAGCTTGTCCCGGCCTGGGAACTACTCTCATATGAAAAACTCTCTTTTCCAAGTTATCCCATCCCTAGATTCCTTACAGAGCAAGATATTTCTCTCAGATCTTCTACTCGTCTGGATTACTTTACAAACCTTAAGAAAGAAGAACTCTACTGGTTTCAACGCTCTCGTGTGAAATGGTTGAAAGCAGGGGACTTAAACACAAGTTACTTTCATCGAATTGCCAATTGTCGAAGAAGGGAAAACACCATCACCATCCTTAAAAAGGATAACATCCCACTGATTCACCCAGGGGATATAGAGGCAGCCATACTAGCATATTTTCAAAACCTTTACGTGGCCCCCCCGGTCCGCAGGCCTAGGATGACCTCTTTGGACTTTCTCACTATTCCTGCCCAGTGGAACTCTTGGCTAGAAAGAAACTTCACAGAGGCTGAAATTCTTGCGGCCATTAACAATCTTGCAAAAGATAAAGCCCCAACACCGGACGGCTTCCCCATATCGCCTTTCAAATTCTTCTGGGATACCTTTCGCCAAGATTTCATCTCCTTCTTTGAAGAGTTCCACTATAGGGGAATTATCCACAAAGCTATCAACGCGACCTTTATTGCCCTAGTTCCGAAAGTGGAAGGAGCAGAGGAACTGAAACATTTTCAACCCATTAGCCTAATTAACTCTTCATACAAAATTCTATCCAAAGTGCTTGCAACCAAACTTCAAAAAGTCCTCCCTTTCATTCTCTCGCCTTCCCAAACAGCCTTCATTAAAGACATGCAAATACTTGATGGCGCTTTGGTTGCCCATGAGTGCATCCACTCCAGACATGTTTCCAAGAAACCTGGGCTTGTTTCAAAATAGACTGGGAAAACCATGGCTAGAATGGGCTTTGGCCACAAGTGGAGAAAATGGATGAAAGGCTGCTATTCCAATCCGCACTTCTCCATCATCATTAATGGCTCTCCTAAAGGTTACTTCCCATCCTCTAGGGGACTCCAACAAAGGGACCCCCTCTCTCCTTTCCTATTCACAATTGTGGCTGAAGTATTCAGTAGGTCTCTCTCCCGTCTCTATCATGAAGGATGGCTTTCAGGATTTAAGAGCTCTACACAGGGACCTGTAGTATCTCGTCTGCAGTACGCAGACGACACTCTGGCCTTCCTAGATGCCACACCACGAGAAATCGATAATCTAAGGATTTTCCTTAGATGTTTCCAGGAGGCCACTGGATTTAAGATAAATATGGATAAATCTAAAATGATGACACCTGATCAAATCAGATCCTTATCCCAAATTGGTCCTGCCAGGTTGAGCAGTTACCCTCTACTTACCTTGGCCTTCCTTTGGGATTAGGCAAACCAAAAAAGAATCTTTGGTCCAAGGTGATTGATAAGGTAGAGAAACGCCTATGAGGCTGGAAAGGAAGATTCATGTCTCTGGCAGGTCGCAAGACCCTCATCAACGCTACCTTAGCAAATATCCCAGTCTACCTAATGTCCCTTTTTCACATGTTGGCTTCTATAGCCAATCGCCTGGAACAATTATCCATGAACTTCCTATGGTCTGGCCAACCAAAACAGATGAAGTTCCACCTTATCTCCTGGGAAAGAGTCTGCCGACCGAAAATACAAGGACTCGGCATCAAAATCCGGAGACAACGCAACCTGGCACTGCTCAGCAAGTGGTGGTGGTGTCCAGCCACACAACCAGATGCCCTCTGAGCTCAAGTCATTTGTCACAAAAACAAAATCAGTGACTCCTCCTGGGTGCCACAAGAGAGACGAAGATATTGTGCATCAGGAGTATGGAATTCCATTACTCAATCCCAAGCCCTTTTTAAGAACTTCATTAGATTTTATGCCAGAGAAGGGTCCAAAGTTAAATTTTGGCCTAATCTTTGGTTTGGCCATTCCCCCCTCAAAGATTTATATCCCTCCCTTTATTCCTTAGCTTCACACCCGCACTCAACAGTAGCGGAAGAAATGGTCCAAATAGGAGGGCGAAGAGTGTGGACTCCATCCTTTAGGAGGAACCTCTCTGACGCTGAAATTCTAGTGGAAGCGACTCTTTGTTGTGGACGCTATCCCCTCTGGTTACTTCACAGTTGCCTCATTCTACAAAAGACTCATCCAATCTCCTACTTTTCCTTTCAACCCTCCCTCGCTAGTTGACAAAGCTTGGTCCTCCAAGCACCCCCAAGGTTCAGACCTTTAACTGGATAGCTTGCTCACAGAGAGCATTAACTGTGGACCAACTGCAAAAGAGGGGTATCTCAACCCCTAACAGGTGCATTTTTTTGTGCCTAAGTGAGGAGGAGACCAGCGCCCATCTTTTCCTTCATTGCGAGCAGGTGAGACACCTATGGCGGAGACTTCTATGCCTGTTTGGCTTTCAATGGGCTACTCCACCATTGGTGGCCTCTCTACTGTCCACAGACTTCGCCATGCCTTGGCCTAAAGCAGGTAAAATCCTCTAGAAGGCTGCCAGTGCTGCTTGCATATGAGTAATATGGAATGAAAGGAACCACAGGATCTTCCAGGGACATCATCAACCGCTGACTGCCCTTTTTCACAAGATCAAATATTTTGGGTGACCAACCACAAAGTGTTTGCCGGAATACCCTCGAACTCCTATCTTAGCCATTGGGAGAACATTCTTTTTCATAAGCCCAAGAAACCAGTTAAACCCAGCAATTGGCAACCACCCCCTAGAGGAGCCATCAAACTGAACTTCGATGGCTGCTCAAGGGGCAACCCTGGGCCATCTGGGGAGGGGGGTGTGTTCAGAGACTACGAAAGGAAAATCCTCTTCACGTTTGCTGAACCACTGGGCTTAACAGACTCCCAACAACCTGAAGCCAAGGCCCTTCTGATTGGGATCAAGCACTTTGACCCGTCATGGGGATCTAACCTGATTGCTGAAGGGGACTCATACAACGTCATTGCCTGGGCTTCCATAACGTCTACGCCACCTTGGTACCTCCTGCCCATTTTTGATGAAATAGAATGCTTATGCAGGGATATCAGCACCTCATGGACGCATACATTCAGGACGTGCAACGCTCTCGCAGATCTTTTGGCCAATTGATGGAGCAGATCTTTTGTACAACCAGGGACCCTCTTAAGCTCGCTGCTGTTTTTGCCTCTCCCTTCTCTTGCTTTATCCTCTTTTTGTAAAAAGGGTGTACATATAAACCCTTTCTTTTTTGCTTAGCCAACTCTCGGTTGTCATGAGCTTTCTCTCTTTTGTTGCCTTTTGTAATTTTTGGGTTTTTATCTGTAAAGGAGACTCCCCGCCTGTGGGGGGCTGGGTAGCACCCATTTTTGTGTAAGGGTTAGCTATCCCCAAACACTTGTACTTTTCTTTTTGTTAATGTTACTGTTAACTTTATCAAAAAAATTAAAAACATACCTTGTGTGTTGTCGTTGTACAATGTCACAGTACTCAAAAGGCTTACCAGCCACAGAAGCAGCAACAAGTCCACCGATGTGAGCCATGTCCATCATCAAGAATGCACCCACCCCATCTGCAATCTTCCAAACCAAGAGACAATTAGTTCATTGAAATGTAAAACATACAAAAGAAAAAATATCAACATTCAATAAATAAGCTCTGGAAAATATTGGCACTTCATTAACTCTTAGTCATACCTTTCTCATGCGTGGGTAGTCAAAATCTCGAGGATATGCGCTAGCACCAGCTATTATAAGCTTTGGACGAAAAAGATTTGCAGTTTTCTCTAGCATTTCATAGTCAATGAGGCCTGGCCAAACACCAAAACACCCAAGAAAAGAAAAAAATATTAATACACGAGATTTCAAATAAGCATTATGCAGCATTAACTGGGCCCAAGATACAACTTAAATAAATGAACAAAATCCACCTGTTGATTCGTCAAGCCGGTAGGGAATAGACTCAAAATATATCGATGTGGCTGATACACGCCTCTTAGGAGTCATGAACCCATGAGACAAATGCCCACCATGAGGTAGATCCAACCCCTGAAGAGAAGTAAAAACAACTTAAAAATATCTCATAATTCATTCAATTAACAAGAGTAAAACAGAGGGATAATAAATAGATTAGGACAACAATTTATTACAGAAAACTCAGAACTTACCATAATTCGATCATGTGGACTAATAAGTGCAGTGTACACAGCAAAATTGGCAGGAGAGCCAGAAAATGGTTGAACATCAACACCCCACAACTTTTGTCAAGATGAAATGCTTGTAAAGCCCTCTCTTGACAAAGTGTCTCCAACTGATCAATGTTCTCATTGCCACCATAGTATCTGAAACCCAGAAATGGACAATATTTAGGGATCATCATCAAACCATATATAGAGAGCTATGCAGCAATTACCTCTTTCCAGGCAAGCCTTCAGAATATTTGTTCGTGAGGCAAGAACCAACTGCTTCCATTACACCCCGGGAAGTGTAATTTTCAGAAGCAATATGCTCCAAGCAGCTAAATTGCCGATGTTTTTCCCCCAATAATCGCATACACTTCTGGATCAGTTTCTCTCAGGTTTGAACCCTCGAAACTGCTTCTGATAGTACCTTTACAAGGTATAATCAGACGACATTAAACATAAGCATAATATTGTTATATAACATGTTCACCTTCAGAATTAATCTTTTTAACACAACAATAAAATATTAATCTTTTTGACACTAACAATAAAAAAATCGCATAAAGTGACTGCCTATGAACTAAAAAATATAAAGAAGTTGCTGCTTATTAGGCCTTTTCTCTACCTTTGGAGTGAGGAATCACCATTATTTCCCGGTTCCAAGCTGTTACAATTGGCCTTTGGGCCATATATGTAGTACAAGTAACCTATGTGGCACGAGAAATCTTTCAAGTGCTACACCCAAGGAATTTAGCGTTATAGCGTCATTGCAGGTGACATCACAATCAGATGAAACAAAAGGATTGATTGGAATTAGATGGCTCTAGGTCCAAGAGATTTAATGGATTATTTTTCAAATAAACCAATGGCATTATATGTAATTATCACGTATTAGGGAAGCATATCTAGTGGTGAATAAGTTGACTAATTTGGGAATAAAGTTAAAAATCAATTAAGGTATGTTGCCATGAACCATTTAGAGGTAATTCTACTATTCTTTGTCCCCCTTCTGTGGGAACACTTTTGCCCACGTGTTTGTCATCCATCCTGTATTGATTTGCACTTGTGTTGAAAATGCTGAAAATGGTGCCTAAACTGTAATAGCCATAAGGGAAAAAAAAAATTTCCCCTATATTATGGCATGATACCAATTTAAATACTCCCAAGAAGGCAATCCAAACTCGCACTTAGTTTGGGGGCATGGGATCTTCTACCGCCTTAGAGGCAACCCAACAACTGTAATACCATTTCTCTTTCATAAAACTTCATATTTTCCAACCCACAACATCTCCCAGGGATAAACCAAACGTAAAATCAAGCAAGTCTTATTACAGTTGGAATCATTCAGAGCCAGGTAAAGATTATGTTAGACAGAGTCAAGGTCAAGTTCAGCACATAATAGCCAACTCAAGGCTAGTCTCCAGTAAATCTGGTTAAAACTATATTATCTAGAGTTCAAGATAGCTAAGGTTGACTAAGGCAAATGTTAATGAAGTCAACCGGACTGCAAACCATCAAATGGACTTAGCACTTACTGTCATAATGATTTTAGAACTGTTAAGGAATCAACCATCAATCTATCCAAACTACCTCCCAACAACCATATTAGAATACAAAGAAGAAACCATTGAGGCAAATATTTTTAGCCTGTTCTATGCTCAGCTACAACATGAATGGTCTTTTCAAATTTTAGGTCCATCGGTCATGCATACACAATAGAATATGGAAACATCTACTTAGGTGGAATGCTGGCTTCCAAAACTAATGGCCCATGGCGATCTCTTAGCCATTCATAGTGGAATATTATTTCTTCAACTACTACAACTCCTGCTCCTGAAACAAATTTCAGAAACTGTAACATCAATCTAATAAATACAGATTTTAAGATAATCCAAACTTAGATCATCAAATGCTAGGCAATTCAGGAACTCGAAGTGCATCACTTAATGGGCCAAACTGCATTCCTTTCTTCAAAATAAAAACACAAAATATAACATCCTAAAAAAATTTAGTGTTTATATCCCTTTCTATTAAACATAAATCCAATGCTCTGTTCCAAAAAATGCTTTTCTATAGAAACATCCATTATAAATCAAAGGCTTCCTGTCCACCCTAAAGAGAAAGCCTCTTACCCCAAACTTATAAGTTCAATTCATCACTTATAGGATAGATTCCTCTCAATTAAAAAGCCCAAGAACATCCTTATCACAAACACAATTTCAAAACACAAGTATGCACATGTGTGCAGAGACACATATGGTAGGACAACAACTCAGGATTATATATATCACAGTATGAGAGACATCACAAGCATAAAGGAGTAGAGTCCCTTCTGTCCTCCTCTCATTTAGATTCACAGACCAGTAGCCTGATAGGCATTTAGGCATTGTTCTATAAATCACAACATAATATTTCTTCTCCTTAATCCGATGGATATTACAAACATAGACAGCCCTGTTGTTTACCAGGCCTTCTAGTTTGTTTTCCACTAAAAGAATATGGCCCAATCCCCACAGGTGAATGCATAAAATAACACCTTGTCATAAAACTGACAATCCCCACAAACAAGAGACTGTTGCTCCCAACTTCCCCTTCTCATGACAAGTATTATGGTTAACTGCTATGAGCACTCCAAGACACTGAAAGAATCTAAGACCAATCTGCTATGCTCAGGCAACCACATTTCTCCTATATGCCTTGCAACCACCACAGAAGTAAAATCACAAGTACATAACCTAATATCCAACGCCCGAGGCCCAAATTTGTTCCAGTGATTTTATTGTTGTTTGATATGCATCAACCTCCTAGTCTGTAGCAGCCTCTCCATACTCCATAAGGCAATCCAAAAATGAGAATATCACTTTGCTATCACGATATCCGGAAAAATACTTAATAATATTATATTTGTCATCATTGTACACAGATTCTAGTGCTTCAATATCTCTACAATTTTCATTGCCTGCTTCCCTCCAGAACTTATCGTCTTTCTTTTATTTCAAAACTATTACCAATTTACCATATTAAGATTTGAAGACTTTTTAAAGCTATTTTTTCAGCTATGTGGTAAACAATGATGCTTATTGAGATTCAACCTCCCCTCCAATCAAAGAATTTCCATGGAGTAAATGGGCCCAAGGTATTGGTCGTCAGTGTGGCATAGGCCTAAGGCATGGGTCATCATGGTGGTGGGTGCCGCAACATATGTCGTGGGCTCCATTTCTATTAGTCGCTGGTTAATTTTCAAAATGGAAAAGGGAGGATGAAGTCATCTCAGTAACAATGTTAATTTTATTTGCTATAGTATCTTCCTCTGCTATGAACAAAGAGTGGTTTTCCACTTTTCTTTTCCATAATTTTCCGTCCGTTAAGCTTGATTCTTATGGTGAATAAGTTCATAACTCTTAACTTCACTAGCATCAAACAAGTATAAAAGAGCAAGCCGAAAGGGCCACAAGAAAAAGCCCACCACATAGGAAGAGAGAAAACCAGGGTATGTGAATAGAAAATTCATGCCATATATTAAAACAAGCCTACTTATACATCAAAGAGAGAAGATGCTACCTCTGTAAAACAAAAATTTGAACTCATACCGGCAATGTCAAGAGAAGGAGCAGACACAGATGGTGATGACCTGCTTGTGACAAGGCTTCCTTCGAGGGACCGATAGTGAGACGAAGAGCAAGCTGTGATTAAGCGAAGGTTTCTCTTGTTGCTAGGGTTGGAAAGGGCGGATGGAGTAGTGTTAGAGGGAAGGTTAACAGAGAATAGAGATTTTTCGATCAAAGCCATGGATGTCACTTCCAGTGTTTCTCACTCTACAAGCACAAAACAAAGGGAACGAGAATGAAGTTGAGAGAGAGAGAGAGAGGTTCAGAGAGGACATGAATAAAAGCAGAGAGCAGGTTTTCCGCGAGAGGGAGAGGCGGTTGAGCGCATGCAGTGCAGTAGGAGTAGGGCGCTTTAACTTTCCTAATACTTACTATCATCCACGTGTTTTGGTAACTCACTCATGCCCTTAGTGGGAGTCCACTCTCTTCTCATCACCGTTTATCCATTAAAATGGAGGTCATACTCTGCTTAAGATCATGTGAAATTTATGTCGTGGCATACGAGGAATTACGTGTATTTAAGGAAAGGAAAAAGTTTTTATAAGGTTGCGACCTGAAAATGTAGAATTACGTATGCACCTCAATAATCCATCAAAAAATGTTGTTTTAATGTTGAAAAACCATCTAATTGATAATCTGAACAATGAGATGTATGCATATGAAAAAATAAATTGATTTTGAGTCCCAAAAATAGTGCTTCTTGTAATATATTATCTAGACCGTCCATTTTCAAGATTTTCATATGTTTATTGATCTACTTGATTTTAAGTATTTTTTTATTTTAAAATTTTATAATTAGATATGAAAATATATTTTCAGATAATCTTAATAATTTTTCAGACCAAAATTACATCTTACGATAAAATTTGGAGGTGTGTTGTAATTGGATTGTTTATCATTATTTACTTTGTTAATAGGAGATAAAGGAATCGGTGAGAATGGCGAATAAAGAGGAAGCAAAGGATGATCTAGATCGGAGAATGGATCATTTGTTGCTGCTAGATGATGACATAAAGGAATCGATGAAATGGTCTATTTGTATGGTGGTGGGTTCATTTTTGCCCCCTTCAAATGACCTTTTTAGTCTTGGAGATTGGGCTGGGAACGAGTCGGATCGGGGTCAGATGAGACCAAATTCAGATCTGGATCTAACTAGTATACATCGGATCTGGGTTCAAACTAGATCCTAGATATTCGAACTGGAATCCAGATCTGAATAGTATACATCGGATCTAGATATGGATCCGGATTACTATATATATATATATATATATATATACTTTTTTAAAAAAATTATATATAGAAAATAAAAATTTACTTTGTCTAAAAAAATTGGGTTGGATATGGATCTGAATCAAATCTGGATCCGAGTCTCGAATCCGATCTTGATTTCAATTCGGACCTAACCTTTTGGTTCGGATCCGGATTTCGGATCAAATTTTGGGTCCATACCCGGATCCGAATAGGGTCCGAAATTCAGGTTTCAAATCCGAATAGGGTCAATTTGCACCCCTTACTTTTGGGTTCGAATTGGAATAAAGTTGGACAAAGATATCATATAGTTTAGTACAATTATTTATAAAGAAAACCCAAGTATATCTTATTGTGATCCTCAATAAAATAACATAATCCATTGAACCCCTCTTTGATGCAGGAGGAGATGGTCCCTATACATCAGTATGCACTAGATCAAACATAAAAACATAAATTGAATTGTTGTGATTGAATGGTAACACATGCATTTTAAAGAGTTTGCATAACCATAATTTTTAACATGTTAGAGAGTTTTAAAAGAAATAGAATCAATAACATCATGAGAAAACAAAAATTTTAACTGAGAGGAGAAAATATGACTTAGATGTTTGTTCCACAAAGATCCTTTATCAGGTATTATAGCATAGGCAGAAGTTTCAATATGAGTGTTTAAATGAAGATGGTCTAGAAAGTAAAGGTCACCAACTTTATGCCTAGTCCCAATCATTTTCCCCCACTATCGATCCTACACATGATCCAAAAGGAGTAAAAACAACATTACAATTAGAACGGATAATCTGACCAATAGAAAGAAAATTTAGAGAAATGGAGGGAACATGATAAACACTAGAAAATTCAATTTACCAAAAGGATCAATAATCAATTCTTAAGTGCCTCTCGTCCTGTTCACTTGGCAGCTATTTTACATATCACTCATGATGATCTGAAGCAAATCATTGAGAGTTTGGAAACAAGGCTAGATAAATGATGAGCATTATAGGACTTTGTAAAGAAGTCAACAAGTTGTGTGGAAGATGAGATGTATGGATGAGAGATTGGCAGCTATTTTACATATCACTCATGATGATCTGAAGCAAATCATTGAAAGTTTGGAAGCAAGGCTGGAGAAACGAGGAAAATTATAGGACTTTGTAAAGAAGTCATCAAGTTGAGTGGAAGATGCATGTATGGAAGAGAGATTGTCACAACTAAATATCTATGTATGTACTTGGCGCGCTCATGGAACTCTTGGTTCTTAGCAATATAAATTGCATTTTGTTAACTCATTGAAAGAGGACAAAAAGACGTCGCTTTCCTCTTTTCATCCTTCTAGCCCACGGGATTTGGACTTGCCTTATGGAAAGCTCAAATATTCAAGTAATCTTCTTATTATTCTACTTGCGCATTTAGGGCTTTTTCACCATCATTCCTCGAGCCAGTCCCTATGGCTTCTCTAAGTGATTCTCCTTAGCCAAAGAATGAGGACTTTGCCATATAAACATGCGGCCATGAAGGGATTACGTCTTAGAACCAGACCTTCTTTAGGTCCTTTGGATGTAGACCCACTGGCGATAGTTGTTGTTGATTCAAACAAGGAAAACTTCAATTTGTTGCATGCTGAAGGATTTCCATATGCACAAGAGGAGGAAGTCTTCTTCGATCCTGAGCTAGTTTTTAGTGGAGGCGGACCTTGCCCCTCCATTAAATGCCATCCCTCATATTGAGGAAGAGAATGCTTTGATGCCCTTAAATGACCAGATTTCGCCTCTAAGAGAAGATAATATTATTGATGAAGAAGAGAGTTGTGTTGCTGATATGATGGGAGATATGGGTATGGGTTTTGAGGTCCCCATAGGGGTGATCTATTAGGAGATTAAAGACATGGAAAAAAGCAAAGAAATTGTCTGAGGCTCATCATGTATTAGATATTGTGAACTCTGCAAAAGGAGGGAAAGAAAAAGAAAGACCAGGTGGTGCCTAAGCCATCCAGATCGTCCGCTCGGCTTGTTTCTTGGGGCTTTGTGCATCGAGGTTCTTCTTCACAGAAATTAGTAGATGCAGTTGATGTTGTGGTGAATCACAATAGTGACTCCTCATATGATTTGTCGTGTGCTTTGGATGAGGCAAGGATGCGAAAAGAACTTTATTTTGGCTCCTTTGGCTCGAGCCTAGAAGGTCCAGGCTCCTCTTCTTATCCTCCTCCTTTTTAATGAATATTATCTCTTGGAATGTAAAGGGTTTGGGTGACCCTAGACATAAGCAGGATGTGTTTTTTTTTGTTCGGAAGTTTAAGCCTATATTTTGATTTTGTAGAAGACTAAACTTCCAAGTCCCAATCTTTCAAGGGTTAGAAAAGTTTAGGGCTTAGTGGCAGTTAGTTTTAATGGTATAGATTCTACAGGGGCTTCAAGTGGGTTTTGGGTTTTGTGAGACCCTTCGGTTCCACAAAGTTTTGTGTCCTTGTAAAAAGATAGATAATTAGTTGTGGGTTTCCAGGGGCTTTTACCTGGATTTTTTTGGAGCTTAATGAACGCTTATTGTATGCACAATGCAATTCAAAAAGAACTTTTTGCTAGTGATATGGCTGATGTATTACAAAATTTTTATTTTCCTATATGCATTTGGGGGATTTCAATCTTGTTTGTTGGCCTAATGAGTCATCTGGTAAGGGTTCTATTAATTATACTATGAGGTTATTCAATCATTTTATTGAATGTCATTCTCCGATGGATTTTTCTATTTTGGGTACAGTTTTTTACATAGTCCAATACTAATACCATCAATTTATCTATGTCGAAGTTTTGATAGATTTCTTGATCTCTGGTGACTAGGTGGATATGTTTCTGTTGGTCTCTATCAGGGCTTTACCGAAACTATCTTAGACCATACCCCCATTTTGTTAAGCTCTAACACTAGCAGGGGGGTCCTAAACCTTTTAGAATGGAGATAGGTTGGTTGGAAGACCAGGAGGTGGTAGATATCATTAAAAGTGCTTGGGAAAATATCATCACCTATGGTTCCATGGATTTCCAATTACACAAGAAGTTGCTTAATGTTAAACATAAATTGATTTAGTGGAAAGTTGAAAGCAACTATCATGTGAAGGCCAAAATTGAGACAATCTTAATGGAGATTTATTTGTTAGACCATAATATCCAAATTGTTGGGATGTTCACAGAAGAGGTAAGGGTGGACAGGAATGCAAAATTAAAATCTCTCCATGACCTTCTCAAATTGGAGGATATTTATTGGAAATCGAGATAGATCTAAGTGGTTGAAGGAGGATGACCTCAACACAAAAAATTTCATGCTATCGTCAGTACTCGTTGAAGGAAAACATCTAGGGTATTGATATCCCAGGTGTTCAGGAAGGTGGTAGTGGTGGTACGAAAAATGCTATTGTTAATCGTTTTCGTAAGGCCTTCACCTTCAGATGTTAGATTCAACCCTAGAATGGATCGTGTACCTTTCAAAGTTCTATCGCGTAAGATGGGGAACCAACTGGAAGTCGGTGTAACTTTGAAAGAACTTAAGAAAGCGGTCTTTTCACTTTCGGGGCATAAAGCACCTGAACTTAATGGTTTCCCATTATAATTTCTTTTAGAAATTTTGGGGAATGATTGATGGGGACCTCTTCCATATGGTTAATGGTTTTCTTTTAAGAGGAAAAATTTTTAGGGGTGCGAATTCCACGTGTATCGCTCTCATTAATAAGAAATAAGTTATAGTTAGATTATCAGATATCAGACATATTAGCCTGTTTACTAGCCTCTACATGATTATGGTTAAAATTTTAGCTGAAAGGCTAAAGGTTGTGCTAGCAATGCTTATTTATGGTCCCCAATCTACATTTATACATTATCCCTCGATCTCATATAGGGTTCTGGTGGTTTAGAAAAGTATCCCTTCAAAAATTTTGAGCCGATTGCAAGGGATGGTCATTAAGTTGGATGTGGAAAAAGCTTGTGATATAGTGGAATGAGGTATTCTTTCAAAGGTGATAAGAAGAATGGGTTTTGCAGATAGATGGAGGAATTGGATTTTTGGATGCCTTTCTTCAGCTCATTTTTCTATTCTGATTAAT